ACCTCCGAGACCCGTTTCATGTGATTGATTATCACCGGGTAGCTATAGATGAAAATATGGAATACGCCGAATGGCCGAAACGAATTGTTGACCGGCAAGTGAAGCAATTGAGAAGCAAGTCCATCCCAATGGTGAAAATGGAATGGAAAGAACACTATGGGACGGACGCTACATGGGAAAAAGAGGAGGAAATGCGACTACGCTATACACATTTGTTTCCTAATGAAGGTAAAATGAGTTTGGAGGACCAAACATCCTAAAGGGGGGGAGACTGTAATACCCCTGTTCTGAATTATGTTAATTGGTCCTTTATATGAGTAGGATTATGTGTTTAATATGATCTTGTGTGCCATTATGTGCAAATATGTGGTTTTGAATTTCTATCTGTTCACCGTAGGAATATCTGTTCGATTATCTGCTTTCAAAATTAAATTGAAGGCCTTATCGGCCATCAAAACCAAAATTGATCGCGCCATTATGATTGGCATAATTTTTAGAGCCTACGGTGAAATTTAATTGAAAATTGATTCAGACCAGATTAAGTTGATTAAATTGGTGAATTAGTGCCCAATTATTTATTATTATTATATTGTGTTGAGTGGGGGCCTTAATACACTCTCCCTTACTTCTATTGAACTCAAAAAATTTGAGTTATACAATTATGAGAGAGAGAGGGCCGGCCATAGAGAGAGAGAGGGAGAGACTTGTGCAATTTTTGGCTTAAGCTTGGGAATTTGAAGATTGAACTCAAGAATCAACCATAATTTGTGAGAAGTAAGGCTCCTAGGTGAGTAACCCACCCTTGATTCATGGATTTTGTTTGTAAATTGTAAATTCAAAGTTGAATTATGAGGAAGAGCATGGATTGAGTTAGTCTTGGTGAATTTAAAGTCAATAGATGCATGCATGTATGTAATTACTTTGAAATTGCATGTTTGAGCACCAAATGTATGATCCATGTTAGTTTTTTTAGTTGAAATCCATGTATTTGACCATCTTTTCATCATATGAGTTGAGAATGAGGGCTATATGTCACATGCATGTACAATCCATGGGAGTAGAAGTTTGAATGTTTGAATTTATCATATTGGACATGAGTTCGATGTAAGATTGGAACATGCATGTGATTAATTTGTGAAATTAGGCTTCTTGATGTTGTAATTTGGTGTTTATACCATGTTAGTACATATATATATATGAGGTTTGAGCCAAAATCAGGCATTTAGAGCCTTTGAATGTCGAATTTGAGCTCAAGAATGTGTTCTGGGAAACCTAGAATTTTTTATGTCCGCTCGAGCGAGGAAAGTGCCGCTCGAGCGGGAAATTCGTGCTCCCAGTACTTTTGCAGACATGGATGTCCGCTCGAGCGGGGAAGTTCACGCTCGAGCGGGGAGCCATGAAGAGAGGCCTTTCGCTCGAGCTCCAGAATGCACGTTCGAGTGTAAATTTGACATAACCAGTACTTTTGCAGGCCTTAAGGGTCCGCTCGAGCGGGGAAGTCCACGCTCGAGCGAGGACCCTGTTTTCTGAAATTTTGTTTATGAATTCTGAGTTCCATTTTCTGTTCTCTTTCACTTCCAAATACTCTTAGGCATACATTGAGCATGGTAATTGAATTAAAGAGATAAGAATAAAGCCTAAAGAGGAAAATGTGAATTTAAGAACGGATCGAATTGTTTGTGACCCTTTTTGTGTTCATGGAATGTGTAGGATCAAACTCCAGGGCAAATCCACAAGCCGATCACTGTGAGTAATATCTTAACAAGATATTTGAAATATACTGTTGTCCAATTGTTTACTTATATGTAAGTTTTGTAAGTTCATTAATTTGAATGGTGGACAACGATTAATATGAATGATTGGGCCGAAAGCCGATTGATATGAATGATTGGGCCGAAGGCCAATTGACATGAATGATTGGGTCGAAGGCCGATTGATATGAATGATTGGGCCGAAGGCCGATTGATACGAATGATTGGGCCGAAGGCCGATTGATATGAATGGTTGGGCCGAAGGTCGATTGACATGAATGACTGAGCCGAAGGCCGACTGATATAAACATTTGGGCCAAAGGCCGATAGATATAAATGATTGGGCCAAAGGCCGATAGATATAAATGATTGGGCCAAAAGCCGTTTGCTGTAACTGTTTCAATGATTGCTTATGTATCTTCCTCATTTGATATTATTCACTGGGCATTCGCTCACGCTCATTCATATACATGTAGGTGAGCCAAGGGACGTCCAAAACCAGCCTCGGTGAAATTGTGAGAAACAGTCGAAGTTTTGAGGAGTCAACCCAAACGTCTCACGCACGAGACTGTCTTCGCTTTTGTCCTTGTTCATAGTTTTTGTTATGTTGGCGAAAGCATTGGACTACTTTTGTATATAAGTCTTGGGTTCAACTGACTTAATCTTGTATGATCCTGTATGCACAATGTTCTGTGTTAGTATATTTATTGATGTGGGTTAGTAACACATAAATGTTTAGAATGTGATGGTGTGCATATAAGCACAGCTCTATGGACAAAGTCTTAAATTTGCTTCCGTTTAGCCCCTTTACTCTGATGAGCTTTGTTTTAGTGGATTGAGGCCGTAGGTAATCTCGCGATTACTGGCCGGTTATGGCCTTAACCCATAGGGGCGGGTTCGAGTCATGACAGAGTACAACCACGACTCCCAACGAAACAAAACCCTAGCAAGAAGGCTTTCTCCTTTTCGAACCAGCAACCGAACCATTCCCAAATCAGTCGGTTGTTTGTCGGCCTTTACAAAACCCCCACACCGATCGCCGACAGCCCGATAGGTTTCTTCCCCACGGAGGTGCAAAGGTATACCAATCACCTTAACCCATTTGTACATCTCCGCTCCCGACGGCCTTCCTATATCGCAGAGCACAGTCGGTGACCACCATCGCAGAGTTAAATCGCGTCCATCAATCATCTATCTGCATTGTAACACACCTTCAGCCTCACACCGAGCTGGAAAAACAAACAGGAAAGTCTGACTCCCTATCAGACGAATCTCCACTCGCCCAACCCCCTTCTACCAACGGCCAACCCAATCCACCATAGCTGAGAACCCAACTCCTCTGCTCCCCACCTCTCCCACGTGACCCACCAACGCCCTCTCCAACAAATCAAACCACCCGTCCTCTGACACACCCTGCACCACCGCATCACTGACCCCTAGCGAATCAACTGCCCCCTCAGCCGCTGTGGCCACTCGCCACCCTTTCGGCACCTTCTTACCTACATCAATTCGGGTCACCCAACCATCCCCTTTAGCAAATCCTTTCAAAACCAGTGCCACACTCTCCCAGTCGTCCCCAAAATCTGAAATGAGAAGAAAAATCTGAGTTCGTTTACCCTTCGAGGTAACCACAATTTCAAACGAAGAACTACCATCTCCCTCAGTACGAATCCAAACCGCCACACTGCGTCATTTCCCCTCCAGCCGACTCGCAAACGACTGGCAGCCTTGGTTCCACGATGCCCATCGCATCTTCTCACCTATCCATCGCACTTCAAACCCCACTAACTTGACTGCTCTACACAAGCCTTGCTCTCGCTCCACTATGGACAAACATCGATGACCCCCATACGTCTCCTCAATCTCAAAGGACCGTTCACCAAGAAAGAGGATCCGCCGACGTGGACCAATCCTCCCTCACTGGAAGCATTCCAGGTAATTACCACATCCCACCTGAAATCTCTTCTAAATATGGAAATAATTAGAGACAAATTTTTATTCTGTGGTGCAAGCCAACTCGAATTTATAAAATTTATTAATTCTGGTAATCACAAAAATAAAATAAAAAATTAGTTTCACTAGCTTAAAAAAAAAAACAAACAAACATTTCTCTTCCTTCTTCTCCTACCCCCTCAACCCACCACTCATCAACACCACCAGCATCCCCATTTCCAACACCATCATCGATGACCTCTGGCAACCACCTCTGGTCACTACATACTACAACCAACATCACTGAATAGTCAATGACTACATCTTGCATGAAACCACCTTTGGTGACTAACAACAATCTCCAGCTACCACCTCCCACTTGTTTTCAAAACAAGTTTTTAAAATACATGTGGGTGTGGAATATGTTCGTTTAATGTTTCTGTAAACAAAAAATAATAAACTATAAATGTTACCAAACATATACAATAATAGTTTTTTTAATTTATTTTGATTTTTTTAAACTTAAAAAACGAAGAACTTGAAAAGTTAAAACTTTTGGTCCAACACTTTTCAAAATACGACAGTTTAAGCATGAAATTTTAAAATTAAAATTAAATAAGTTGCAAGTAAGTTTTTCCATATGGAATCTTTATGTTACTGCCCATCGTCATCTACTAAAACATCAAGGGGAAATTTCATATTAGTGCAAGTCTTAAAAAATAATTACAAATAAATAGTGAACTTCATAAATATTAATAAGTGAAATCATAAACTTTTCCATGAACAACTTTATGAAATTATCACTTAATGGTAATTTTCCCAAACATGAATTAGGTTGTCCAGATTTATTTAGAATAATCATATTAACACTTTATGTTAAAACTCTCACACTCTGTTTTTCATCTTTAAAGGGAAGTTTACTTGAGTTTCCAGTATTTCATTTATCAAAAAACATAACACGTTAATGTTACACTCAAAAAGGGATTTTTGTTAACATGTGTCCTTACGGCACATATTAAGAAATTTTTAAAAAAAATGTACATTTTGTATGAAAGTGCGTGTAATAAAGCATATACAATTTTTTTAAGTAATCTTAACATGTGCCTTAAATGGCACAAGTTAATCAGACCCTAAGATCATCATCTCAATATCTACAGCTCATTGAAAACAATCCATGCCCTTACATTTTGAACAGAGATTCAAGAGGAAAAATAACGATTATTCTTCAACACACACCTTGCAGCTCAATCATCTAACAAAGCTATATTTGGCCAAGCAAATATGAAATATACAGATTTATCATGCAAGACAACAAAATAATCACAAATGATGCAGATCAATGCATACATGCTGTAAACAATGCCAAAAACAAAAAGAGAAAATGAAAGTGAAAAACAGCAACAGAGGAATGCATGCTACCAATGTTGAGTAACAAGATTCAAGAAAACCTTATATTCAAATATCACAAACATAAGTAATTAGGTTAAAAAAAACATACCCATGGTAATTACTGATGCTAAAACTCGGTCGAAGGTTTATATTCCAGCCCCAAAAAATGCGTCCATCAGTTCAATATGTACCAACTTAGAAGCTTCCCTCACCTTCCTTCGATCCCAAAATCCACTTACCATGGCAATCCATGTTCCCTCGTTGGGGATACATCCATCAAGAACCATTTCGTCAACAATCCGAGCAGCTTTATGTATATCTCCTTTCTTACAGAAACAATCAACAAGAGATTCAAAAGTTTTGGCCTCAACAGAAAGTCCCCTAGCGCGCATACTTAGATACAAGTGAAAAGCTCGATTTGGGTCATTTTCAATTAAAAGGCCTTGGACTACAGCGTTGTGAATTTTAACATGAAGGCTCCATGTTACTCGATTTGGTGAAATCCCCTCAAGAACCATCTCATCAAGGAAGTTTGCAGCTTCCTTGAACTTGTGAATATCACAAAACCCATTTATGATTTTCCAGTACAATCCCGCGTCTGGTTTCAATCCCTGGAGTTTCATCCTATCAAGAATCTCCAAAGCTTCTCGAAGCTTTCCCTCTTTACAGAGTCCGTGAATTAAAGTACTGTATGTTATCATGTTGGGCTTATGTCGTTTGCTAACCATTATTTCCAATAGTTCCATGGCTTGTGAAGTACGTCCACCCTTGCCAAGTCCGTCCATGAGAGAGCTGTAAGTAAACACATTGGGCTCAATACCTTTTCTCTTCATCTCATCAAGCATTCCCATAGCCTCATCCAAATTATTTGATTGGCATAACCCATGAATCAGTGAAGTGTATGTAACAACAGTAGGTGAACAACCTTTAGTATCCATCTCCGTGAAAAGCTCCTTTGCCTCAACAATCTTCCCAAACCTACACAACCCATTAATCAAAGTACCATATGTGTATGAATCTGGAATACACCCACGATTAGGCATCTCGCGAAAAATCCGAAGAGCAGCATCCATCGTACCATTGTTCTTGCAAAGGGCTTTAATCAAAACATTGAGTGAAGCAACACTTGGAGGAATACCCATTTCTCTCATATACCGATAAAACCTTAAAGCCATCTTTAACTGGTTTTCGCCAACAAGAATCGCAAAGACAGTAATGTAAGATTTCTGGGTCGGTTGACTTTCATATTCCTTCATCTTTTGGAAAATTCTAATCGCCTCAAGCGGTCTGTGAACCCGACCATACCCTCTACAGATTGAAAGAAATATATCCTCCGTAATGCTGCAATTTTCATTCTTCATCCTATTCAGCAAATCCTCGGCTGCTCTGAATTGGTTAGCAGAGACGAATCTGGAAATCATGACACCAAAAGTGCTGTGATCATGCTGAAACCCATTAGTGTACTCCCCTGTTGCAGCATCAAATATGACAATTGCTTTCTGTAAGTCTTTTTCTGCTCGAATCAGCTGCTCGACTAGAGTTACTGTGATTTGTTTCGGCCATTTGATCATTGTCTTTGTTCCCATTACTGACTATCTCCCCAAAAATGAACAGATTTTATCAACACATGACAAAGCTCAAAGCTTGATTGCAATGCAAACACTCGTTCTAGAGTGGGTATTACATACTAAACACTAATTCAAAACAGAATACTTGTTCCAAAAAAGGGAGGTATCGAATTTTTGGGTTAGACATTTTAACAAACACCTAGAGGACCCTTAAAAATTTCAGATTATAATCGAATATATATGTATATAGATACACAGGCGTGTTTGTTTGTATATATATAGATGGGAGGCTCGTCAATCAAACCTGATATCATCTGACACCGGCGACGGACAGATCAACGGTGGAGAATGTAGTAGCGAGTGAAGAAAATTAACACACTGATGATGATCCCGAATATTGGGGTTTGTTTGGTGCAACAGCCCAACATTGGCAAGTGTCTGTCAATGTTAAGAAGAGGTCCAGCCCAATAAAGAAAATTAACATACTGATATTCTTGATAATTATTTTCTATCAACCAAAACAAAAGGCAAATATATATATAAATAAATTTTAAAATTTTTAGGACAATAGCCTCTAGTTTTATCCTTTTGAAGTCAAAATGATAATAACAATTTGAAAGATTATAGTATCCCAACCTATTTGTTTATGTGTTTGCTTCACCTATTTGTCTATCTGTCCATGTGTTACATATCTATCAATATGTCATCCTTTTATTTATTTATGTGTTACCTAATCAGTGCACCTAATTTGTTTATTTGTCCATATCATTACCACCACCAGCTTCTACCCTAGCCATGGACAACTTTTCTGATAACCGATCGAAAGTAAAAATAGGGAAAAAAAAAAAATTCTTCAAAAGAACAATTTGTCTGTTTCATCAAACAATTTCATTAATTATGTCTTTTATCACCAAAACAAAACAATCATTAAACCTAATGTTGTAGGCATCCAAAAAAAATAGATTTTTCACCAATTTCCCCTATATATAAAGGGAACAAAGATTTTTTTTTTCATTATGTCATATTATAAAAATAAATCAATGGGTAAATTTTTTTTTTTTTTTCTATTTATAAATCTTAGCCTTATGGTTGGTTCCTAATGTTTTAATTTGGTCATTCTATTCAAATATCATTTTTAACACGTGCTAGTATCATGAGGAGTTGATGTAGAAAAGACTGACAAAAATTTGGACAAAATGATCAAATTGAAATTAGATTTGAAATCTTAGATTAATATTGTTCAAATTAAAACAACGGACCAAAGTAAACATTGTGTCAAATTATAAGGATAGAAAATTAAACCCCCAATGACTTTAGGAAGAAAATCTTGGAAAAATGATATTTATCGCCGAGTTAATTAATTTTTCACCTCTTGAGTGAATATACACTATATATAACCTTTTTATTTATTTATTTATTGTAAATCTCATTTACTTTGAATGATTATGTACTCTATTTGCATATGCAAATTGGCTTGCAAATAGTCATCATGTAGAGCATCAGAATAGTGGCAAGTTGAGGTCAGGGAAAAGAATCAGCATATCAACTCAGAAGACAAAAATGCACCCAAAAATTATGAAGAAAAGAAATAGACATGGAAAGCAGATACTTCCAGTTGAATCCTAAGGATTAGACTTAAACAAAAATGATTACAAAGACTCAAATAAAATCAGCTTGTTTAACTTAGCTTGAACTTTTTGCAGCAATGGAAACAGCATGAGAGAAAAAGGCAATAGAACATGGAGGATCTTTGTTACATATCAAGTCACGTGGCTTGGCATAGCAGTGGTCATTCTCAATTTTTTTTACAAAATATTTCATATAACAAGATGTTTATAAACTAAGAATTCACTCATTAAAAAAAAATAATTTTTTTGATGGACAAATTATAGATTCGTAAGTTTAGATTTATAGCATTTTTGTTCTAATAATAAATAATAATTTTTTAAAAATGTTAGAGATGTACAATTTAGTATAATAATATAACAAGGGTTAGACTTTTTATTATTGAATGTGTAATAAATTAAAAGTTGACACCTATTATACCATATCATTGTCAGTCAAAGTTTGGACAACAATGTTTATTTTTGATTTCCTCTTTCAAACCGTGTTTACTATCGAGATGGTCTTGTTTCGGTGAGCAAAAAAATTATATATTGTGATTAGCTCCATTCCTAATGACTATGAAGTTGAAGATGAGCCATAGGTGAAGACAAGGTTAGTTAACAATCAAACAATAATTGACTGCCTTGTGTCTACGACTGCATGTCGTTGATTTGTTTGTTTTATAGCATTTTTGTTGTGATTTATACATAGGTTATAGATTTATAGCAATTGAGTATGCTTGTGTTTGTAATTATAATTTATATTCATATGAGAAATGATGGGCATGTTTGGTTGAAAATTTTGGAGAAGAAATTTTAAAATCACTTTTTTTTTATATTTATTCTGCTACACATTAATCAATCACTTTTTCTCATCTCCTCTCTCCTTCTCAATCATTTTTCTCTCACACCCATCTATTTTACAACAAAAAATATCAAATCATCTCAAATTTCAAAACTTCAAAACTATTTTCAAAATATATAACCTAACAAATGTTCAAATTTTCTAAACTCTCTCCAAAAAATTATTTTTAAAATAATATCTTTTTTGAGATCTAGCCATCTATGTTAAGTATACATGTTGGCGCAATCAACCAAAAGCCACCATGTCTTTCTACCAAAATTATCATTGTTCGTTGCACGTTTGTCTAGATACTTGATTTTTAATTGAGATATTTTGTAAAAAATAAAAGGTAGTTTGGCTTGTTTAAAAAAAAAAATCAAAAAATTTATTGAAAAAATTGAAATTAATTTGATAAAAAACAAATATTAAAAAAAATTTGACCTCCAAAAAGATAAAATTATATAAAAGTAATAAATATTTTTTATTTTTTATTTATTTCATCAAATTAATTTTTAGTTAAAAAAATTGAAATAAACTTTTAAAAATCAAATCAAACATGGGTAAGGTGAATATCCATGGGCTATGTTTATTTGATTCTAATGTTTTTTTTTGGTGATTCAATGGTTAAATGTGTATTTAATTTTTCCATTTTTAAAAATACATTAATATGTATTAATTAAGCATTTTTTTAAATATGTTTTGGGTGGTTAACACAACAAAGAAATTAACAATTATTTTGATTATATCCATTCAACCTAATCACTCAAACAAGGAACTAATAAACAACAATGCTCAAATAAGGTTACATATTTTTATAGGAGATAATTACCTAATAGTCCTATCTATATATTTGGTGGTAGCTTAGGTCCTATCAAAAAGTTTTTGAACTAATAAGTCTCATTTAGAGGTAAAAAAATGTTTTTGCCCTTTAAGATAAACAACTGTATATAAAATTCTATTCACGTTATTTATTAAAAAGAAAAAATGAATTAGTTAACAGATCAGTTATGGAAGTAGTTGAAGATTCGAATCGTGAACGATCTTGAAGGATTTATTGCTTTGGTTCGCTATTATACGTAATTGATTTCTCGATTTTGATTCGAATAGGAAAAGATTTTGAAGGATTTCTTAGTTTAGTTCGCATTTTGAGTTGAAATTTGTTGGAGTTTGTTATGTGCGATTTCGATTTATAAATTGAAGAATTGATTTGCTGGATATTTAATCTTCGATATGTTTATAGGTACGTATTGTTTCGATTTTGTATATTATGTTTTTTTAGAATTTTCTTTAGTTTTGATTGAATTTATTTATGAGAATATGTTGAATAATTTTGTTTTTACGAATTGAAGACGTGATTTGCTGGATGATTTCTCAGTTTGGTTATTTATTTTATGAATTGAAAACGTGATTTGTGAAGTATTTGTATTGTTATGAAGTTTTTTGTTCTGGTGTTTATTGTTATGAAGTATTTGTGAAAACTGAGAAAGTTCTTAGTATTGTTCTGGTTTTGATTGATGCGATCTTTATTTCTTGTTTAGATTGAAAGATGAGTGAAGGTTGTACAAGTGCGCCTATTTTTTTGTTGTGCAAGTATAATGGTTGCACATTTGCAATTAAGATTGATCAAAATGTTACATATGATCAGTTGGTTGAGAAGCTATGTTTGAAATGGGATAATTTGCAATCTGATAATATTTGTCTATCTTGCTCATTGCCTGGACATTCTAATTGTACGTTGGACAACAATGAGGAGTTAGATTTGTTATTGGCATTAGTTGTGCATTTGGATTCAAAGTGTATTGATGTTGTTGTGCGAGTAAAAAACTCAACCATTGACTGTGGTTATCTCAACAACAGATTGGATTATGGAGAAAGACAGTCAATGTTGGATCTTGAAGTTTGTGATATTGCATTGTCTCATGACAACAGTAAGTCTGTGAACTTGTCAAACAGAGCATCTACATCTTCCAAAAGGAATTCGAGGTTGGAGGTTGAAGAAGAGGTTGATATGTTATCATTATTTTGTCGGCACAAGGGAAAAGTACTGTTGTCTGCTGGTTGGGCAGTTAGTATTACACATGTAGGACATAAATTTGAAGGTGGAATTGTTGAATTTCGTAATGCATTGTCAAAGTTTTCTATTGAGTGTGGATTTGAGTTCATATTTGTTAAGAATGATAAAGTTCGTGTTACTGCACAATGTTTGTTTAAAGAGACAAAAGGTTGTATGTGGAATGTTCATGGTAGAGTGGAGAATACTAATGGTTCTTTTATATAAGGAAGTTGAACAATGTCCACACATGTGGTGCTGAAGTACGCACGATGACTCATTCTCGTATGAGTTCTGATTTAGTTGCTGATTTGATTGTTGAAGATGTTCGTGATAATCCATTGACACGTCCAGTTCATGTTGTTCGGGATTTTAAGTTGGGGTATGGGCTGAGAGTTAGTTATCGTTAAGCTTGGTTGGTAGTAGAGAAAGCAAAATGTGAGATTTTTGGAGACTACTTAATGTCATTTGACCAGTTAAGATGGTATGTGGATGTTGCAAAGAGTTGCAATCCAGGGAGTTACATTGAGTTTGAGTGTGACGATGATACTAAATGGTTTAAGAGATTATTTGTTTCTTTTCATGGTTCCATTAGTGGATTTGATTATTGTCGACCTTTCTTATTCCTTGATGGCACATTTTTTAAGGGAAGATTTAGAGAAAATTTACTTGCTGCTATAGGAAAAGATGGAAATCAAGGTATATAGAAAATTTGTTTTCTCTGTTCTGAAATTGAGAAAGTTCTCAGTTTAGAAATATGATTGAAGTTTTTATATAATATTGTTGTTGTATATGCATTTTTTATTTTTTCAGTTATTCATTTTAGTGTTTGATATTTTGAATGTTAGAGTGTTACCATTTTCTAAGAATAATATAATATTTTCATTTTTTCTATTTTGTACATGCAGGGTTCTTTCCTGTTTGTTTTGCAGTTGTTGGCTCAGAGAATCAAGATAATTAGCGCTGGTTTTTGGAGCATTTGAGCAGAATTGTTTCACCAGAACGAAATATTACATTTGTGTCAGATCGTAACTTTGGATTAGTTGAAGTGTTGCCAAAGGTTTTCCCAATGGCTTTCTATGCTTATTGTTTATATCATTTGAAGATGAACTTGAGGCATCATTTGCGTGGTATGTTTCATGGATTGAAAAGAAAAGCTGATCATTTTGTTTGGGAAATGTGCATATGCTCCAACTGAAAAAGCATTTCATCAATGTTTAGTTGAGTTAAAGACTGAAGGTGGGCCGAGTTGAAAAGTTTTTAGATGACATACCATATGATCATTGGAGTAATGCATACTTTCGAGGGCAACGCTTTGGAGAGATGTGGTCAAATGTAGCTGAATCTTTCAATTCGTGGATACGAGAGGAACGCCACTTGCCTATCACAATGTTGATTGATAGTGTAAGAATTAAGTTGATGAGGAAAATTGCTAAGAGGAGGGAACTTGTTAATAAATGGAATGGTTTGATTTGCCCTAAAATAGAGTCCAAGTTGCATGATGGTTTTAATACTTCGAGGCCATGGATTGTTAGTTCATCTGGAAATGATGTCTATGAGGTGCATTCACATCCATCTATTTTAGTTGACATTAGTAGACGAATATGTCCTTGTGGCGAGTGGCTGTTGAAAGGGTTTCCATGTGCACATGCAATTGGTGCTATACAAAAGAGTGGACATGATTTGAGTTTATTTGTTGATCAATACTTCTATGTTCAAAGTTATCGAGAGTCCTATTCTTTTCCCATATATCCTGTTCCTTCAATTTGGAAACCAGATTGTAATGTTGATGGTGATGGTGATAGTGAAGTTGTTCTTTCTCCTTTGTCTAAGAAGCAACCAGGAAGGCCAAATAAGAAGAGGATTCGTTCAAATGGTGAGAAAGTGAGACAAATTACTTGTAGTAGATATGGGAAGGTTGGCAATCACAATAAGAAATTGTGTAAGGAGGCTTTGTGATTTTTTGTAGTTGCTTTGTGATTGTAAAAATTTCGTATTCATAAATTTCTTGAAATAGCAGTTTGTGCTGTTGAGCGCTGAGTAATAATCTTCTATGTTTTTGAATAAAGTGCCATTGAATTGAAAGTGAAAATATTCTTAGTTTCAGATTTTAATTTTTGAAATTGTTTGTGATGATATTGTTTGGTTGGCTTTCGGAAATATAACTTGACTGTTGAATGTTTGTTTTGCAGATTATGTGAATGCTGTATAAAAAGTGAACATATTCTCAGTTTAAGTTTTTAATTCAAAATAGCTGATTTTGTGATAATAGTGTGAGGCTCTTGTTATGAATTGGAACTAGTTATAAATGTGATGAATTGAATGAGTGTGAATTAATATTCTAAATAGATATGGTCAATGCTTTATGTTTTGATTAAAGTAACAGTGGACTGTAAGTGAAAATATTCTTTGTTTCGAATTTTAGTTTTTCAAATTGTCATAATATTGTGAGGCAGCAAATAAATTGTTGTGATGATATTGTTTGGTTGGCTTTCGGAAATAAACTTGACTGTTGAATGTTTGTTTTGCAAATTATGTGAATACTGTATAAAAAGTGAACATATTCTCAGTTTAAGTTTTTAGTTTAAAATAGCTGATTTTGTGATAATAATGTGAGGCTCTTGTTATAAATTGGAACTAGTTATAAATATGATGAATTGAATGAATGTGAATTAATATTCTAAATAGATGTGGTCAATGCTTTATGTTTTGATTAAAGTAACAGTGGACTGTAAGTGAAAATATTCTTTATTTCGAATTTTAGTTTTTCAAATTGTCATAATATTGTGAGGCAGCAAATAAATTGTTGTGGTAATATTGTTGTTTGAAAATTGAGTGATCTGTATAAAACTGAAAATATTCTCAGTTTTAAAGTTTCTAAGTTTGAAAATAAGTGATTGAAACAACAATAAGGTTGAAAATATTCTCAATTTTAGTTTTAAGCAGTGTTTTGTGAGGCAACAAAACACTGCATAAAAACTGAAAATATAAATAAAAACATCAACAAAGCACTGATTGTGATACAGTAAAGTCTTGTGTCCACCATTTTCACATGTAATACTATTTTCGTTTTCGCCATATAGTAGTGTGAGGAACAGGATAATAGAAACTGAGAATATGGACAAAAACATCAACAAAGCTCGGGTGCATATATCTTTGAGAGTATGACAAAATATTCCATTACACATCATAGAAATTGTAATATGTTTGTTAGGTAATATGCTTGGAACTATTAACAAAAACATTAGTCATTGTATCAGAGTGTTACAAAAAAGAGTTCATTAAGTTACACATCAAAAAAGTTTTCATTGAAGGTTGCCATCTTGACTCTACTTGACTTTGATTGATCTTTGTGGATCACTGAGGAACTCATGTAGCATGTCTGCTCTGAGTCTTGTGGATGTGCCTGGTGGTAATGTGTTTGGAATTGGTTGATGCCTTATGTATTGTCTTATGATGTAGCAAACAATAATTTCACAGTCATTCCTACAGAAATCATTTTTGACACAGTTAGGGAAAAAAGAATTTTTTTTGAAAAAGATATTAAAATTTGTTAGTTAGAATAAATTAACATACGTCATTGCTTCTTGTTGAGGGCTATCTTTGACTGATTCAATCTTGACATCAGGATTCCAGGCTTTTTTTGCTTGACAAGGTGTATCCTTCATGTATTGATGGATGATTTTTTGCTGTAAAAAACATCATCATAAAGTATGTAATGATTTACATCTGATTATTGTAATGCTAATCTGAAATTGTTCTTACCAGTTGATTTGCAACGTTGTAGCGCTTGTCCTTTCCTTTTCTTGGTCTCAAAGAGTTGAAATGTTTCCAAGTCCCCAAGTGTTTGTCGATAACAAGTAATGTCCAATGATTGAAATTGTGGATGGGGATATGGATGTATCGACATGGGAGGGATTCTTGCAAAGTATTTTTCAAAATCTTTTTCCTTTGTTCTGAAGTTTTCTTCTTTAACATTGGCTATTTTTTTACAAAAAATATGTGAATATTCGCAGTAATGGTACGAACTCAATATTCATGTTGATGAAAAGCAACAAAACATGATTAACTACGATTTGTCACTCAAATTGTTTTGAAATTTGAGTATATTCCTAGCAATGATACCAAGATCAAAATTTGAGAACATTCACAAGAATGATAACAAACACAAAAAATATACTTTGAAACCAAAATTGAACGGAATATAAAGTATAGAATTGACACATGCACATTGATTCCTTACCCAACATAGACTTGACAGTATGAAAGACTTGCCATTGTGCTCTGTTCCATCACCAGAATTCTGTGCTTGTGGTTCTCTTTGAAGAATCTCAGCATATGCATCAATTGTCTATCAAATTGAAACACAAAAGTGATGTTAACAAATTAATGAGAAGTTTTTCAGTGTTAAAATATTACAAATATTATACGTACACAGCTGGATATGTCTGTCCCTTTTACCAAGTTCTTGATATCATTAATGCACACACCATTTTGATATCTTGCGCCAAACCATATACAAGTACTACAAAACAATAAAAAATGTGTTAATAATTAAGTCAGAATATTTTTAGAAAACAAAGTTATTTCTCAGTTTCATTTCATATATTTGTAATAAATGAAAAATTGAAAGATTTATGTAAGATTATACCTTGATTCTATTTGCTTTTCTTTCTAAAGAATTTGTAGTTTATATTTATCTTCAGGAGGTAGCAATTAAGCCACAGCATACTTGTTTGAAATTGTCTCATCTTTGTGTTCCTTCTCTTTCTCAACTTTAACTTTCTTACCTCTATACTCATAATCTGACACCTCAGTAGTCTTCCTTGCTTTAGCTTTGATATTTTTAATCATGGAATTCTGTAGCTTTGTTTGTCTTGATTCTGTCAGATCATTGGCTTTTATTGCACAAACCTGTTGGGTTAAGTCATGGACTTCTTCCTCCAATAACTGATTCTGCAACTGAGAATTTTGACAATCTTTCACATTTGTATTTGTCTCACAATGTTTTGTTGCAAAAAGGTTGTTGCGTTATCTCATGGACCTCTTTCTGATGGAGCTCTTTGTCCACCACTTCAGAATTTTCATGGACCTCTTTTTGCAGCACTTGAAAATTTTCATCGTTTATTGTATGACCTTCATTCTTTGCATCTGTCCCAGAATATTTTACTGCACAAACTTCTTGGGTTATCTCATGGACCTCTTTTTCAACCAATTGGTTATGCAATCGAGAATTTTCATCTTTCAATTGTTGTATTTGTGCTGTGAGTAGCCTGTTATCCTCTTCAAGTTTATTTATGTAGATGGTCTTCACTGTGTTGTCTAGTTGCAAATTGCTGTTCTCAGTTTGAAGTTTCTCAAGTGTTTGTTGATGAATTTGTTCTTCTCTCTCAGGTGCATCATTGATTATAATGTTGCAGAAGTCATTAAAGTCTTCATTTGCTGGCTTTTGTTCTTGGTGGCACTCTTCAGCATATTGACCATCTTCTTCTTCTTCTTCTTCATCTTCATCTTCTTCTTCTTCTTGAGTGTTTTCAGCATCTTGTTTTTGTTCTTGTACTTCTTGTTCTTCCTCTTCAGCATCTTCCTCTTCAGCATCTTCTTGTTCTTCATCTTCAGCATTTTCAGCATCTTCTTTTTCTTCTTCTTCAATGTCATCAAGTTCTTCATCACTTTCCTTATTCAATTGAGCACTAGTTACCTATAGATCAACATACAATAGATATTAGTTTTTGAAATAATTGAAGTTTAAGAAACTAAAAAGTTTCTCAGTAATAATTCAGTGTATAAAAATAGGGATTTTTCCCAACTTGAATTGAAATTAAAATGAGATGAGGATGTGACCTGTCTTGTTGTCAGCTGATGTAGTGATATGACTTTCATACATTTATGTAGTTTGGCAAGATTCCACTTGATCAACCTTGGGCATGCTTTGCTAACTTCAAGGTGAATGATCAGTGTGTGATCACACAACCAATACTACAAAGCAAATGTAAAGAATTTTTGTCATTTGAATAAGAAGTAATACTATATGTTATTAGCAACAAACAAATAGAATAGAGTAAAGATGTACTTACTAAGAGAGCCATTACACATCCTGTGACTTTTGCTGGATTTTTGTGGTATTTTTCAATTGAAGACATCAGTGTGTTCCTTATTGCTTCTGCTCAATTGTATTTTCTCATTGAGTTTATGTCTTCCATGTAATTAAGAAATACTCATCCAACTGTTGTTCCTAATGTAGAGAAAAAAAGCTTCAAACAAGTATACATACACAGCATCCTTATCACATTTTCATTGTCTTCTTTCTTCTTGCCTTTCAATGCTTTTTGCAACAAGTTGGTGATGGTTGTGCTCGATAGCGTTTTAGTTTGTATGTATCGTCTTATCAGAAATGATGATCTGCTTTTATTTCCATAACCAAGACGTATCGGCTCATCACCACAAGATATACCGAAGATGGACTTGATGTCTTCTGTTGTTAGCTTTACAGTTTCTGGTCCTAACTGGAAAGAACCACTGCTGCCTGGCTGGTATGTTTGAATTATTTTCAATGCAATGTCATCATATTTTCTGCATTGTTTATAATTCAGCTTGTTTTTCAATATTGCATCAAACAATGCCCAAAATGGGGTTTTCTTCAAGCCATTAATATGCTCATTCCCGAGTTTGATGTGTTGTAATAGCTTCACTATGGCCATCATGTTTGATCTGAAAGTTTGTTCTTGTACTTTTTGTTCTTCTTCTTCAACATCTTCTTGTTCTTCGTCTTCAGTATTTTCAGCATCTTCTTTTTATTCTTCTTCAGTGTCATCAATTTCTTCATCACTTTCCTCACTGAATTGAGCAGTAGTTACCTGTAGGTCAACATACAATAGATATTAGTTTTTGAAATAATTGAAGTTTAAGAAACTAAAAAGTTTCTCAGTAATAATTCAGTGTATAAAAATAGGGATTTT